ACCTTTCTCAGAGAGGTGACCTTGGTTAAAACACATAGCGCTAAGAAGGGGAACAAACATATTAAGAACAATATGCCATATATGCCAGGTCCCTTGAGACATATGCTGGTCAGATGTTTCTTCCCTGAAGCGACTGTGTCAAGCAGCAAGGATGGACCAGCTTCTGGAAGGTTGAGAACCACTGTCTTAGATTCACTAGCAAGAGGACCTGTACTTACTTAAGATGTTGGTCCTTGTGTCTTATACATGCACCTGTAGAAAACCTTGTGGACAGTGGTGTGCACTTTTGTTTATAATGGTTTTCTGTAACTGGTTATGGGCTAAATTTTTGTTATTTGTTTACTTTATTGCTAGTGTAAAGTAAGCATAAGAGGAATCCCTCGTCAGATAGATTGGGAAGATCAAAAACTTCTGTGGCATAGGCCCGTGATGTCAACAGTAGTTGTATAAAAGTTGAGCTACCGCCCTAACCAGTTTGGCTCAGTGGATAAAGCGTCGGCCTGCGGACCGAAGGGTCCCAGGTTCGATTCCGGTCAAGGGCATGTACCTTGGCTGCAGGCACATCCCCAGTGGGGGGTGTGAAGGAGGCAGCTGATCGATGTTTCTCGCTCCTTGATGTTTCTAACTCTCTATCCCTCTCCCTTCCTCTCTGTAAGAAATCAATAAAATATATTTAAAAAAAAAATTGAGCTACCACCTGCTCAGTATCTGAGCCTTCATGAAATCTTAGAATTTTTTGCTTTCAAGGCCCACAATGACACGCAGAATTTATATGTTCTAGTAGCCCGGTGCATGAAATTCATGCACGTGGGCAGGGGGAAATGGGGACTCCTCAGTCTGGCCTGCAGCCTCTCCAATCCGGGACCCCTCGGGGAATGTCCGACTGCCGGTTTGTGCCCGCACTTTTATCAGATGACAGCTCCATTGTTGTTTCTTTCTTTTCATGCTTAAACCCATTGGAATTAGTAGGTAATCAAAGTGTGTATACATTTTGGGGGGACACCCTGTATATCTCTAGTCAGCGGTGAAAGGAACCAACAGTGGATTTGGAACCCCCAGACAGGGAACCTCGCTCACTCCCTGCATGTCTCCCCACTCCACTTTCCACCTTCACAGGCAGCGGGAGAATCAGTGTTTTCTCTCATTAACTCGGAAAAGCAGGTCCTGCCACCAGCTGCCCAACAGGCGTGCGCCAGGATCCACGCAAGTGAGGCTCTGTCAGGGCAGCCTTTGCTCATGGGTGCTGGCACCCAAAGTGCACATTCCTCCTCTGAAGTCGCCCCAACTATCCCACCATTTCACTGAGAGGATGGAACTCCTTGCCTCCTCTGGGTTCTTGATCTTGAATGCTGACCAAGGCACCTCAGCCAGGGCTGCCCACGCCCACCAGGTGTGTCTGTCTGCACCTGCTCCCACCTTAGCACCTGCATTATTAGCCCCATGGAGGTGATCTCCTCACTGCACTGGCCTCTGCAGGAACAGGTCATCACCACACCGCCCTCTCACTGTCATCTCAGAGATGCTCACCCTCAGCAGCCAGAACACACAGACACTCTCCAAAGGACATGAGTGTGCCAAGGGGACCTGCACACGTCCTGTGGGGGACATAGGCATGCTGGTTTGATGGAAGTGTGGTGGAGGGGCGGGAGGAACTTGCATGCGCCTTGGTCTGGGACTGTTGCAGGCAAGCGAGGGTGACAGCGTGCTGAGGGATGTTTGCTCACCAAGGAGGGAGGAGAGGATGTGCGCACCGGAGGCCTGTGGCTTTGCAGATCAACAAACCCCCGTGGTGTGGCCAGGTGGTTGTCAATCTGGCCCACCACGGTGGCTGTCCCTGCCAGGAGGCGGGACTTGCACAACCACTCCTAGGCGCTGATGGCCTGCAGGCACTACTTCAGCTCTGCCTGCAGACTCCACTTGGAGTGTTCACGGCTGTCACTGCTGCCATGTGGGGAGTACAGGCTGTCCTCCCCTGTCCACAAGCGCTGCTCTCCTGCCTGGAGCAGACCAGGCGGGGCAGAAGCCAAGCGTCCCACGCTGCCACTGCCACTCTTTGCCTTCACACACTGCAGACGGGCATGGAGTGACCGGGGTGGGGCCAGGTGGGCTGGGATGCCTGTCCCCATCTGCTTGGCACCTGTGCACGTGCACTCTGCCTACAGGCCCACCATCTTTGTTGGGTTAATTTGCATACTCATCCTGATTGGCTGATGAGTGTAGCAGAGGGGACGGTCAATTTACATGCTTCTCTTTTATTAGTGTAGATATTTCTAAGGTTATATCAAGATCAAAGAGAGAATCTAAGAAAAGCCTCCAGGTTTGAAGCACTTACTATGCTAACTCTGTCATTTTCCTAATTGTCATTATTTTTCTTCAGTTGTGCTAAACCTGGAGTATTGCAAATATAATGACTTCAGCCTTGCATCTTTATTGTAATACTATACCTAAGGAGCCTTTGATCACTGATACGTCATTCCATAAGGCCTCTGGTTATTGAAGTCATAGTGTCTCACAGTTAATATCTAAGGAATTGACCAATCGCAGCCTGCCTCTAAATTACAGAAGAGAACAGGTTGTCTGATGTGTGCACAAAGACACAAATTTAGGTCAAAGGAAACAGGAAGCAATCATTCAGAAATAGTGCAGTAGGACAGAGTGCGATAAGTGGTGTGTTATATTTGTGCCCTTTCGATGCCTCAGGCTTCAGATCAAGTCTCTTTCTGAAAACACAGAGTCCAGATGGTGGAGGAGGGATGCAGCAGGAGAGAATCAGTCTGTGACACTGCAATTTGTGCATCTTGGATAGAGCTCTCATGGCCAGCACTTGTCAGGTGGCTTACTAGTTAGTAGGTGGTCGAGTGATTTGGACCTTCATCCAGGATGGGTCTGAGTCCCTGCTGCCTATGCTCCTATCTAACAGCGGTGCTGCATTTGCAGTTGTCATCAGGATCTCCTAAAATCGAGGTTGATGACCATTGACTAACAGGGTTATTTCTTGCTGATGCATGGGCAACTGTTGAAACTAGACTCTCTTCCTAGGAGGGGAGAAATTCTGTCTCAGTTTCAGCAGCCAGCTGACCAGAGCATGTTAATTGTGGACCCGGTAAGATCTTCCCTCATTCCCCCCCCACTTTTCAATATTGGTTCATGTCCTCACTAATCTGTTTTACATTTCTTGAGGACCTTTGGTTCCCCCCGGGCTGTTTAATTTCTACTACCATAACTTTGAATGTGTGTGTGGTTTTGTCTTTGGTTATCATGCTCTCTCCAAAACGGTGAAAGAAGATTTTAACCCAAGGGTGGGTGTAGTTGCCCATCTAAGATGTTTCTAAATAGCATTGACAACTCAGGTTGTAGGCCATAACTACTAAAAGGTGGCTGTGTTGTGCTAAGGCCTACCATGTGTATGCCTTAAAATGGTTTCTAATTGGTGTCAGATATTCGAGACATTCATTACAGCTGGACATTTCCCAGTTAACGCAAGGACAGAAATGCTAATGGTTAGCCTTAAATTTTTTAAATCCTATTTCTAGGGCTTTGCCATATCAAGAAAGGGCAAAGTTATAAGACAAAAGTAAGGGGGATGGGTGAATACAGCCCTTGTGGGCAAAGCTATAAATAAGTACATTTATCCATGCCACAAGAAGCCTGCTTGTTTATGATATTCTCTTTCTGGTCATAACAGCAATTAGCACTACCACTAAATCAATGGCTGCATGTCATGCACTTGAGGGCAGCTTAGTTTGCTCTAGCAATGACAGCACATCTGACGCAGCAGCTACAATAAGAGATTCTACTGGGCAGAGCTTGATGTAATTTACAGTCATTCTTCAGGATCAATAGGGTTTTTGTAGGGGCCAGATTGGTGATTTGAGTGGGACCTGATAGAGACAACCACGTTGCATGTTTTGGTCTTTTTTTTTCTGATACAATTTTAAATTTAATTTTACTCAAACTTCACAAAACCCAGACACACTTATAATTTCAACATGTGAATTTGGGAGGCACACAAACACTTAATCTATAACACCCCCCAGTCAAGATGCACTAGTTTTCCATCACTAGAAAGTTCTCTCCACTCCTCCATTCCCAAGTCAGGAAACTACTGATCTACTGATTTAAATTCTATTACCAGAACTGGTTTTGGAGTGTTCTAGAACTTCATAAAAATTAAATCATATATTAAGTTGCTTTGGTCCTGTTTCTCTCTCTCTCTCTATCATCATCATCATCATCATCATCATCATCATCATCATCATCATCATATCTGAGACTGATCCATGTTCTTACACGTATCAGGAGTCTCTTCTGATTTACTGAGATATTCCACCGGACAAATATACCCTTTGTTTATCTATTCGTCTATTGAGTACTGGTTGTTTGTTTCCATTTGGTAGGATAAATTCATGAATAATGCTGCTATGAATATTCATGTGCAAGTCTTAGTGGGCAATTAATTTCCTAGGACTACAATCTTGGTGACATAAAGTAGGTGTGAGTTTCACTCTACAAGAAACTATCATTATATACCCTGTCTTTTCTATTCATGACATCTGTTTACACTTCCTTTCCATAACTCAGCCCAACTGCATTTAATTTTTAAAAAGTGTGAGAGAATCTAATTCTCTCCTCAAAATTCTTATACAGAGAAGCTTCCACTCCCCTCACCATTCTCCATTTTAATGTCACGTTGACCTATTATGTTCTAGGCTTGAGGAAAAAAAGCCACCGAGTGTCTTAAAATTGCCACAAAATCCACTGATCCTTTCCCTGAGTCTTCTCCAAGAGACCAGGGGACCTTTCAGCCCAGACTCCCTACATCACTGAGCACAGCCTCCCCCAGAGAATGCACCATTGTTATGTAATAGCTACCCCCTCCCCCTCCAAGTCTCTGGGGGGTGCCCAACCTCCAGCCTCTCTCTGCTCTCCTCCTGCTGGAAAAGGTGCTACAGCAGCTTTAGTCTGGCCTGCACTTTCTATGGTCACAGGTTCCCTCGCTCATGGCGCCAGCCTGGGCCAAGGCCCACCTGACAGGGGCTCTCTGGCTGCCTCTCCTCTGGCTACTCCTGTCCCAGGTCAGTTGTTCCCATGCCCTACCAGGGTGGCGTTTCACTTCCTCTGAAATTGTGATCCCCAGGAAGGTGTCCCACAGGCTGGGTGGAGCTGGGGTACGAGGCCAGCTCTCCTACAGGATTCACTTCAGTGGCCGAAGACATGTGGTTCACATGAAGGTCAAGAAGAACTTGCTGCCCAGACATTTTCCGGTTATCACCGATAACGACCAAGGTGCCATGCAGGAGGACTACCCCTTTATCCCTCGAGACTGCTACTACTTCAGCTACTTGGAGGGGGTTCCTGGGTCCATGGGCACGCTGGACACTTGCTATGGGGGTCTGCGTGGCATGCTGCAGATGGATGACTCGACTTATGAAATCAAACCAATGGAGGCTTCTTCCAAGTTTGAGCATGTGGTTTCTCTGCTCGTGAAAGAACAACCAAGAGAGGACGAAAGTTGTACGATTGAAAAAGAAGACGCAGATCCAGCATATGAAGAGGCAAAGTTTGCTGAAACCCCTAGAGCAGCGCCCGTGTATTTGTGGTGGCCCCATAGAAGAGATTTAAAACTTCACTACACTGTTAGTAACTCATTATTCAGGAGCAGTCCCAATAAGACAGATCTAATAGAGAGAGTGGTGATGATTAACAGCATATTACACAGCATTTTTCATCAACATCTTCTGGTTGTCAACCTACTTATTTTGTGCATCTGGGATGATACAGATCACACGGATGTCACAGCTTTTAACAATGCGCCTAAAGCTATGGAAAGATTTGGTTTGTGGAAATATTATAACATGTTTGGTGCTCTCCCTCATGATACTACAATACTTCTTACGGGACATAAAATCGCTGGTGCAAATCATTTTGGCTTCCAACATGGATTATGCAACCCCAACTGGGGGGCAATGTTTGTCTATGTAGCAAATGTTCATCTATTTTTAGGTGCCGGTATCGCAGCACATACGTTGGGTCATATTTTTGGCATGGAACATGATGGAGCTGGTTGTAAATGTTTTCGAAGGACTTTCTGTGTCATGGCTCCTACGCCAGGTCTTAACGATATGTTCAGCAATTGTTCTTATACGAGTATCCACTTTCGATTACAAGGCTATGATGAATGTTTGGCTTACACACAGGGACCATACAATAATTTTCCTTATGTAGCTCCTCGTTGTGGTGACAAGATCATAAATCAGAGGGAAGAATGTGACTGTGGCTCCTTGAAAGACTGTGCTGAAAATAAATGTTGTGAGACCAATTGTGCCCTCTCCCTTGGTAGTGACTGCAGTGCAGGAGAGTGCTGTGTGAACTGTAAATATGCTAATCCTGGATGGATTTGTAGAGAGAAGGGTGGCATTTGCGATCTATCAGAATACTGTGATGGGAAAACGAATACTTGTCCAAATGACTTCTATATCCAGGATGGAACCCCGTGTTCACCTTTAGCTGTTTGCGTGAGAGGAAACTGTAGTGACCGTGACATGCAGTGTCAAGCTCTATTTGGCTACAAAGTAAGCGATGCTCCGCAAGTGTGCTATGATACATTGAATGTAAGGGGTGACCGATTTGGAAGCTGTGGGCAGTCCTTCTTCAAAGGGGGAGAAAGACATAAACCATGTGAACAAGATGATGTTCTTTGCGGAACGTTGCACTGTCGTGATATCCAACAAGTACCTGGTGGAGGTGAGCACACTACATTTCATCAGCTATTAGCTAAGCAAGAAATGTGCTTTGGATACGATACACACTTTGGGATAGACCTGCCACCACTTGCATTAGTAATAGATGGTGCAACATGTGGGCCAGGAAGTTACTGTTATAACATGAATTGTACTTTTCATCAAGACATGGCCTTTGACTGTGATGTCAAGAAATGCAATTACAGAGGAGTGTGCAACAATAATAAAAACTGTCACTGTCAGAAGGGATGGAGGCCACCACAGTGTGAAAACAGCGGACCGGGTGGTAGTATAGACAGTGGCCCTCCACCTGACATAGAACCATCTGCTCGTGGCAGAATAAGTATGAATGTAAACCAGGGTCTAGTTGTACTGATGATTCGTTCAGCCCTTTTACTGTGTGCATTCATTATTGGCTGCATTTCATACTTAAGTACAGATGAGGATGAAGAGGACTAAAAACTCAACTGGTACAGAAACAGAATCCCCACAACTTTACTAAATGCTAACTGGAACCTACACAATGGGTAAATCACATTGCACTTACTGGGAGAAATGCTCAATCCTCACTCTGATAATGACATCATCCTACAGCTATTCCAAGGTTGTCATCTTGAAATAAAATGACTTGGAAATTTAAAAAGGTCCAATGTGTTTCAACTCATTTTAACACGTCATATGTGGCCATATTGCTAATATTCCTGTAGATGACAGTAGGAACTCTTAGATCAGCGGTTCTCAACCTGTGGGTCGCGACCCCTTTGGGGGTCGAACGACCCTCTCACAGGGGTCGCCTAAGACCATTGGAAAACACACCTACAACTACATATTGTTTTTGTGATTAATCACTATGCTTTAATTATGTTCAATTTGTAACAATGAAAATACATCCTGCATATCAGAGATTTACATTATGATTCATAACAGTAGCAAAATTACAGTTATGAAGTAGCAACGAAAATAATTTTATGGTTGGGGCTCACCACAACATGAGGAACTATGTTAAAAGGTCGCAGCATTAGGAAGGTTGAGAACCACTGTCTTAGATTCACTAGCATGCGGACCTGTACATACATAAGATGTTGGTCCTTGTGTCTTACACATTCACCAGTAGAAAACCTTGTGTACAGTGGTGTGCACTTTTGTTTATAATGGTTTTCTGTAACTGGTTATGGGCTAAATTTTTGTTATTTGTTTACTTTATTGCTAGTGTAAAGTAAGCATAAGAGGAATCCCTCGTCAGATAGACTGGGAAGATCAATAACTTCCGTGGCATAGGCCCGTGATGTCAACAATAGTGCTACCACCTGCTCAGTATGTGAGCCTTCATGAAGTCTTAGAATTTTATGCTTTCAAGGCCCACAATAACATGCAGAAATTATACATTTTCTAGTAGCCCGGTGCACAAAAGGAGGCCCCTCACTCTGGCCTGCACCCTCTCCAATCCAGGACCCCTATGGGAATGTCCAACTGCTGTTTGTTCTTCGACTTTTAACAGATGACAGCTCCATTGTGTGTCTTTCTTTTCATGCTTAAACCCATTGGAATTAGTAGGTAATCAAAGTGTGTATACATTTTGGGGGGACACCCTGTATATCTCTAGTCAGCGGTGAAAGGAACCAAAAGCAGATTTAGAACCCCCAGACAGGGAACCTCGCTCACTCCCTGCATGTCTCCCCACTCCACTTTCCACCTTCACAGGCAGTGGGAGAACCAATGTTTTCTCTCATTAACTCGGAAAAGCAGGTCCTGTCACCCACTGTCCAGCAGGCATGCGCTAGGACCCAAGCGAGCGAGGCTCAGTCAGGGCAGCCTTTGCTCATGGGTGCTGGCACCCAACCTCGCTCACTCCCTGCATGTCTCTCCACTCCACTTTCCACCTTCACAGGCAGCGGGAGAATCAATGTTTTCTCTCACTAACTCGGAAAAGCAGGCCCTGTCACCCACTGTCCAGCAGGCATGCGCTAGGACCCAAGCGAGGGAGGCACAGTCAGGGCAGCCTTTGCTCATGGGTGCTGGCACCCAAAGTGCACATTCCTCCTCTGCAGTCACCCCGACTATCCCACCATTTCACAGAGAGGATGGAACTCCTTGCCTCCTCTGGGTTCCTGATCTTGAATGCTGACCAAGGCACCTCAGCGAGGGCCACCCACACCCACCAGGTGTGTCTGTCTGCACCTGCTCTTGCCTCAGCACCTGCATTATTAGCCCCATGGAGGTGATCTCCTCACTGCACTGGCCTCTGCAGGAACAGGTCATCACCACACCGCCCTCTCATTGTCATCTCAGAGACGCTCACCCTCAGCACCCAGAACACCCAGACACTCTCCAAAGGACATGAGCATGCCGGAGGGGACCTGCACACATCCTGTGGGGGACATAGGCATGCTGGTTTGATGGAAGTGTGGTGGAGGGGCGGAAGTAACTGGCATGCGCCTTGGTCTGGGACTGTTGCAGGCAAGCAAGGGTGACAGCGTGCTGGGGGGCGTTCGCACGCCAATGGGGGAGGAGAGGATGTGCACACTGGAGGCCTGTGGCTTCGCAGATCCAGAAACCCCTGTTGTGTGGCCAGGAGGATGTCTATCTGGCCCGCCACAGTGGCTGTCCCTGCGATCACGCACCTCCTGGGTCAGGAGGCGGGACTTGCACAGCCACTCCTCGGCACTGATGGCCTGCAGGCGCTACTTCACCAAGGCTCTTCTTGGTGTGCTCACGGCTGTCACCGTTGCCATGTGGGGAGTACAGTCCGTCCTCCACCGGCTGCCTCCCCTGTCCACAAGCACTGCTCTCCTGTCTGGAGCGGCCCAGGTGGGAAGGAAGCCTGGTGTCCCACCCTGCCACTGCCACTCCTTGCCTCCATGTACTGCAGACCGGCACGGAGTGACCGGGGTGGGGCAGGGTGTGATGCCTGCCCCCAGCCGCTTGGCGCCTGTGCACGTGCATGCTGCCTACAGGCCCGCCATCTTTGTTGGGTTAATTTGCATACTCATTCTGATTGGCTGATGAGCATAGCAGAGGGGATGGTCAATTTACATGCTTCTCTTTTATTAGTGTAGATATTTTTTTTAAAATATATTTTATTGATTTTTTACAGTGAGGAAGGGAGAGAGATAGAGAGTTAGAAACATCGATGAGAGAGAAACATCGATCAGCTGCCTCCTGCACATCTCCTACTGGGGATATGCCCGCAACCAAGGTACATGCCCTTGACCGGAATCGAACCTGGGACCCTTCAGTCCGCAGGCCGACACTCTATCCACTGAGCCAAACCGGTTTCGGAAGTGTAGATATTTCTAAGGATATATCAAGATCAAAGGGAGAATCTAAGAAAAGCCTCCAGGTTTGAAGCACTTACTATGCTAACTCTGTCATTTTCCTAATTGTCATTATTTTTCTTCAGTTGTGCTAAACCTGGAGTATTGCAAATATAATGACTTCAGCCTTGCATCTTTATTGTAATACTATACCTAAGGAGCCTTTGATCACTGATACGTCATTCCATAAGGCCTCTGGTTATTGAAGTCATAGTGTCTCACAGTTAATATCTAAGGAATTGGCCAATTGCAGCCTGCCTCTAAATTACAGAAGAGAACAGGTTGTCTGATGTGTGCACAAAGACACAAATTTAGGTCAAAGGAAACAGGAAGCAATCATTCAGAAATAGTGCAGTAGGACAGAGTTCGATAAGTGGTGTGTTATATTTGTGCCCTTTAGATGCCTCAGGCTTCAGATCAAGTCTCTTTCTGAAAACACAGAGTCCAGATGGTGGAGGAGGGATGCAGCAGGAGAGAATCAGTCTGTGACACTGCAATTTGTCCATCTTGGATAGAGCTCTCATGGCCAGCACTTGTCAGGTGGCTTACTGGTTAGTAGGTGGTCGAGTGATTTGGACCTTCATCCAGGATGGGTCTGAGTCCCTGCTGCCTATGCTCCTATCTAACAGCGGTGCTGCATTTGCAGTTGTCATCAGGATCTCCTAAAATCGAGGTTGATGACCATTGACTAACAGGGTTATTTCTTGCTGATGCATGGGCAACTGTTGAAACTAGACTCTCTTCCTAGGAGGGGAGAAATTCTGTCTCAGTTTCAGCAGCCAGCTGACCAGAGCATGTTAATTGTGGACCCGGTAAGATCTTCCCTCATTCCCCCCCACTTTTCAATATTGGTTCATGTCCTCACTAATCTGTTTTACATTTCTTGAGGACCTTTGGTTCCCCCCGGGCTGTTTAATTTCTACTACCATAACTTTGAGTGTGTGTGGTTTTGTCTTTGGTTTTCATGCTCTCTCCAAAATGGTAAAGATTTTAACCCAAGGGTGGGTGAGTTGCCCATCTAAAATGTTTCTAAATAGCATTGACAATTCAGGTTGTAGGCTATCACTTTTTTAAAAAAATACTTTTATTGATTTTAGAGAGGAAGGGAGAGCGAGAGAGAGATAGAAACATCAATGATGGGAGGGCATCATTGATCAGCTGCCTCCTGCATGCCCTTTACTGGGGATCGAGCCCACAACCCGGTCATGTGCCCTTGGCCAGAATCGAACCTAGGCTGACACTCTATCAACTGAGCCAAACCAGCTAGGGCTAGGCTATCACTTCTTAAGGGTGGTTGTGTCATGCTAATGCTACCATTATATTCCTTAAAAGTGGTTTCTATACCAATACAGCTCCTAGGGCAGTGATGGTGAACCTTTTGAGCTCGGCATGTCAGCATTCTGAAAAACCCTAACTTTAACTCTGGTGCTGTGTCACATATAGAAATTTTTTGATATTTGCAACCATAGTAAAGCAAAGATTTATATTTTTGATATTTATTTTATACTAGAGGCCAAGTGCACAAAAGTGCACTTGGGGGGAGGGGGGACGTCCCTCAGCCCGGCCTGTGCCCTCTCACAGTCTGGGACCCCTCAGGGGATGACCACCTGCTGGCTTAGGCCCGCTCCCTGAGGGATTGGGCCTAAGATAGCAATCAGACATCCCTCTGGCAGCCCGGCAGCCCTTGGGGGATGTCCACTTGCCAGCGGGAAGCAGGCCTAAACTGCAGTCGGACATCCTTAGCGCTGCTGAGGAGGCAGGAGAGGCTCCCACCAGCACCGCTGTACTGGCAGCCATCAGCCTGGCTTGTGGCTGAGCAGAGCTCCCCCATGTGAGAGCGCCCTGACCACCAGAGGGCAGCTCCTGCATTGAGCGTTTGCCCCCTGGTGGTCAGTGTGTGTCATAGTGACCAGTCTTTCCCAGTCTTTCTGCTGTTAGGGTCAGTTTGCATATTACCCTTTTACTATATAGGATACAGGCCTGGTGCATGGGTGGGGGCCAGTTGGTTTGCCCTGAAGGGTGTCCTGGATCAGGGTGGGGGTCCCGCTTGGGTGCCTGGCCAGCCTGGATGACGGGGCTGATGGCTGTTTGCAGCTGGTCACACCCACTTCAGGGTGGGGGTCCCCACTGGTGTGCCTGTCCAGT